TTAAATTAGTCTGGATTTGAGCCCCCAAATTAAACTGGATAAAATAATTTTGAAGAGATGATGCTTTCTACATTTATGCCTCCAAATTTCACTGTATCATATTATGAAAGTTGCAAAAGATAATATTTGTATATATTAAAGCTATTGGATTCTTAGGGCATTTTAGTTTCTACTTCATTAAACTGTGCTCCATCACTGAACATCCACCAATCTATTCCACAGCATTTTTTCCTCTCTTAGATATAATTTACACAGCTACAAAGAGAGAAAAAAATGAAAGCTGAGAAAAGGGAATTGCAATTGCCACTTTAGCTTAAATGCGGAGAGACAATATAACAATGGTGAAGCTCTTGCTGAAGCAAATGCAATTTATTATAGATGTTTTAGATTTCAAAATGGTTACCAGAACTTTCCTGTGTCTATTAGCTCCTTAGACAGTTCATCATGGTATTTTAAAACTGTTTTCTACTCTTTTGCAATTCCATCCTTTGTTTTAAAAAAAAATTAAAGCTGCGGAGGGTGGTAATAGCTTTTGCTTTGAGGTGGTTTTCTTGCTTTCAAAAGATCATAACTACTCAATTCTATGTTGTGGAATAAGAGGAATCCTGTTGTGATATAAGTGAAACCACTGCACCAGATGGACTATTGGCTTGTCACATGCTGTATTCAACTATCTCCTGCAAAAGTTATAAATGTATGTTTGTGCACGCAGATGCACATTTGCTTGTGTATACTAAAAAACTAGCAAGTTAGCAAACCCATGAACTGAATATTGATCCTGAATAACACATAAGCTTCAGCAGGTTGTCACCACCACCGCTGCTTCCACTGTTACTGTCTCCTTCCCATGTTCTGAAATTTGTTGCTGGGCCATAGACCAAGGAAAGGGCCTTGCGGGGGGGGGGGGAGCAGTAGGTTGGCTATATGTCCTACTTTGCATAATAGAGTTCTTTATTAAAGAGCTGTAAGACTGGTTTAAAGAGAGAAGCATCAGAAGGATGAACAGGCATCTTTTATTTAAGCTATAATCAAGCATTATTTATATATTCCTATAACTGTTTTAGCACCTGCACAGTTCATGCCAATCTGCACCTTCTTTTGTGTTTTTAGCAATGCTTTAGTGTCCATCCTATATCAAGATGTCTCCCAGGAGTCACTTCTTTTTTAAAAGTTACCTTAAATTGGGACAAGTTGTAAGCCTGGCTGTGCTTGATCTTTTTCACAAGAATTCAAGCAAGGATGCTCACTTTTGAAAGTGCCTTTGCTTAAATGCTTGCAACACCTCTAGTAAAGGTGTGATTCATGAATATAGTCTGTGGTCAGTGTGTGTGTGTGTGTGTGTGTGTGTGTGTGTGAGAGAGAGAGAGAGAGAGAGAGAGAGAGAGTCACACAAGTACCTCA